TTCTGCCTTGTGCTTGCAAAAGGTCTTCAAAAATAACAGGGCAAATAGTTCCAGGTCTCTGTGACCTAAAAAGTCTAACGAAGCCGAAGAATTACTAGAGCATCTTAGAGAAACCCGAGGCCATTCAGCCTAATGATTTAGTGATGATGTCTTTGTTTTTAGGTCAGAGAATAATGTGGCTTCTAGCTTAATATTTATTCAGCAACACTCACTAATGTTGGTAGCACGGGCTGTGAGCCTTCTTCTATGTCCTGAATATTCTAGGGCAAGAACAGACTCTTCTGTTTAAATAATTCTAAAAATCGAATTGTTTTGTAATGTCTTCAACTTCTAGGAAATGATAAAGTCCAAATATAATAATAAAGTAAAAGAGTGTTGAAAACTCAGTGACTGAAAAGCAGACGTCACATTGACAATTAGACTGATAGCACAGGAAATAGCAAATAGGTTTCTTTTTTGTAGTTCAGATTTTAAAAATCTATAAATGGCAAAATATGGTCATATAAGAGGAGAGATACAGGAGGGACAGAAGAAGGGAGGGAGGGGAGGAGAGGGAGAGACAGAGAGGGAGAGAGCCCAAACTTAAAAGAAGTTTACATTTTATAATATAGACCGCCACAGATTATCATAATTAACCCTATACCTCCCTCTGGTGGTCAAATTTATTTTTTGAATTTTGAATTTGAATTTTGAATTTTTTGAATTTTTTGAATTTGAAAATACATTTTGTGAAAATGTATTTACAGATGAATTAAATGAAAGATGAATAAACAGTAATAACTAAAGGTAAGACAACCAGATACCTCATTTTGTGTGAAGATTCCATTTTAACCAACTACCTCACTCCAACATTTCCCCTAGTTATTAAAGTTGAATGACTCTTCTGTGGAGAGGTCCCCATTCTCATAAACTTTCCTAACCTGTGGCAGGGACTATACATAGCAAGTTGTATTGCATGGCACTAATTATATACTTAGGATGTGGATATTCATTTATGCTATAATTTATGCAAAAATAATAGGAAAGAATATTTTCCTGGATTTCTTAAACTACTTAAATTTTTAAAAAGTAGTCTATGAATTATTTCATGCTGTATTGTGTCATGCACATTAAAATAAAAATTTTAGGAACATAGAGACATACATTATTATCCGAATATCAGATTTTAGAATCTTAACCCAGCAACCAAACCTGGTGTTTTTGGGTGGTTACTGTTTGTGAATGTCAGATACATCTTACAGGTACTGATTTTTTTTTTTTTCCTTAAGGGAGCAATGTATACTTAATTACAGCTTTAATAAATTTAATATTTTAAATTTCAAAATTACTTAGAATATTAATTTTTCTATTTAGAGAAAAACTAAAGCCTGCACCGACATGTTTTTCTTGGCTGTTTAGTTTTAAGGTCATCCCTGATAATTTCATATGGGAGCCAATACAATTTATTTTCGTGAATGTACTCCTTGAGTCTCGAAGAAAAAAAGAAAAATGTCACTAATTTTATTTGGCTCCTTTTTTTATTCTAACCATAAAATATTCTTTTAACTAAGTAAGATGTGACAGGAATTACAAGTTTTACTTTTGTTCTTTTTGACAACTGAAGAGTATTTAAAAGGGTTTCCCATTACACTTTTTAAGTTTTATCCACTGTATTAATTGGATGTGAGCTATTATGAAAATGATTACAGAGTGGAAGTGTAAGTTGTCTTGAATTTGAATGTCTTTTAATTAAGCAGTTTCTCAAACTGCTTTTTTTTCAGTGTGAAACCTAAATAGGAGACACAGGATAATTTTAGAACCAAATGAGGCCTTTAGGATTTAGCTTACTTTCATTTATTCAGTAAATACTCATTGTACTTATTTTGCAAAAATGTTATTTTTGGCTACCTAAATCAGTGAAGGGAGACTACAAAGGTAAATCAGAAATGTACTGTGAGATCAAGAAGCCTGTAGCACAGAGGAGAGATAAACGTGTTTAAAATAAAAGAGTGTGAAGTGGAGAAATGGGCTAGTATTGTAGGAGATAGACAAAAGGAGGAGAAGCTTAATCAAGGAAATGACATCATAAGCTGAATGTAGGCTCCTTTTGAGGGGTAGCGTAGAGCACTGTCTCTGTAGTTCTCTCTCTATCCCCCATGCCTCACACATGGTTGACATTTCATGAATATTAAATGATTAGAGTAGAAAATCCTGACTGATTTTGTCACATACTTGCAGCATGGCTAAAAATAAGGCACTGCAATTTCTTGAGGCTCAGTTCCTTTACCTACAAAATAATATGGATTTTAAAATGAATATCAAATGCATTTACACATGTGAAATACTTAACTTGAACACCTTTATAACACAGGTGATACTGTTGAATTAAGGTAAGTGTATGTGGATTTTACCAGTCCATATGTGAGTAGGGAACCCACACAAAAAAGTGTGGACCTACTTTGAGAGTTACATGTTAAAATGAGACTTTTCTTATTTTATCAGTATTGGGGTCTTCAATTTAAAGGGTTGTAAGTGCCCACACTTAGGATTTCAAAAAAGAGAGTGCCAGACTACCTTATCAGTTTGCAAATGGGTGACTCTAGTCAATGTTTGGTGGGTCCCATCCCATTATGTACTTCAGGAGTGGGATACAAATATATAAGGCGAACCTTGAAGCAACTTGGGATACTATTAAATTATACCACTAGAATGTGTCCATAGTAACAACGTTTTATGTTTGCATAAATTTAGAATCCTTTAGTTGAAAACAACCATTTTACAAATATGAGGAAGTTAAAATACCTCACAAAGTGATGTTACCTACCAAGGACAGGAGGATCATCGAATTTTTTTGTCTCTCAGATCAGTAATCTCATTATCATATCCAATCCATCTCTATTTGCAAATTTGAAACCTTCTAAGACTCTAAGAGTGGGAATAATATGAGAAAACACCAAGTTTGTTTCTTTGTAGAAATCCAGAACAAAAGTTGCATTCCTTCTAACGTGCCCAAAGAAGAGGAAAAAGAGGGGTAGGGATGAGATAAATAAGTGATATGTGGAGTTTGAAACTTTCTAAGTTTCTATAAGATGTAAAAATATTACATTTACATTGAAAATTGTTATTAAAAAAGTCATGTAACTCTGTATTTCCATTGCTAGTGCAACAAATTATCACAAATTTAGTGGCTTAAAACAACACAAATTTTGTTTCTTATAGTTCTGTAGGTTAGGAGTCTGACATGGGCTAACACCAAGGGACTGGCAAGGCTGTGCCTTTCTGGAGGCTGCAGGGGTGAGTCTATTTCCTTGTCTTTTCCAGCTTCCAGAAGCTGCCCACATTTCTTGGCCTGTGGTCCCTTCCCTCATCTTGAAAGTCAACAATGCATGGGTTTAGTCCTTCTCATATGACATCACTCTGACCTCCGCTTCCATCATCATCTCTCCTTCTCGACTCTGATTCTTCTCTTCCACTTTCAAGGACCCTTGAGATTACACTGTGACCACCTGGATAATCCAGGGTCTTCCCATCTCAAGGTCCTTATTGACACATGCAAGTCCCTTTTGCCAAGTGAGGTAAACCCTTCTCTTTGTGTATGTGATGAATACATTATATAATATAAATATAACATTATATATATACACACACACACACATATATATATACACTAGTCTATTTTATCATTTACTACCATAAAATTTACATAAATCTATTATAAAATCTCCTGTTGCTATCGTGGTGAGCTCTAGTGTTGCAACTATCCACTTAAAGCACCATGTGATGCTAATCATCTTCAGGTGAGCCGACCATCTCTCTGATCAATTGCCTCTGGTGGTTATAATCTCTTACAGTTCTTGTATATTTTTCATCATTTTTATTGTAATAAAAATAAACCTTGTAAACCTTGGATAACACTATGGGACCCATGCAGAGCTTGACTAGTGATGCTGGAAGTGCTCCCAAGAAGCAGAGAAAAGTCATGATATTATTAGAAAAAGTTGAATTGCTTGTGGTCTACAGATGCCGTTGCCCAACATTTCAGAAGATTCTTCTTGTAATCAGATGATGCAAACTTACAGTACTGAAAAATATAGTACAGTACTGTAAATGTACTTTTTCTTCCCTATAATTTTCTTAACAATATTTTCTTTTCTCTAGATTACTCTACTGTAAAAATATAGTATGTAATACATATAACATACAAAACGTGCTGTTTATGTTACAGGTAAGGTTTCTGGTCAACAGTAGACTATTAGTAGCTAAATTCCTTTTTTTAAAAACATAAACACGTATTTATAGAAAATATTTATTACTTTGGTTACTAAAAATTTACCTAAATGTTATCATGCTATGCACATGGTTCTACAACTTACCTTTTTGCGATCAATGTGTTTTTTAGCTCTATCAATATTGAGACATATAAGTCTAGTAGTTAGTAATTCTGAATATAAATAAATCAGTATAATAGGAATAAAAAGAGATTTGGTAGCTCAGGGAGATGCTGTACCATTAATCCTTTAAAATTTATTAGAATTTTCTGTTCCTATGGTAGAAAATTCCCATAATCTGATACCGGCCTTTTTGGCTGCTACTTCTACTGAATGTAGTGCCATCTCTGTACACAAGATGGCAGCATCTGTTTAGTACAGATGGGGTTGCCATTTGACAGAAAGCCACGCCAGAAAAAGGTAAAATAAACACTAGAATTTAACCATACTAGATTAGGAAAAATAAAACCTGAAAACCTCAAGGGAGTTAGGCATTCACTTCGTAAGGTGAGCAAACAATTGCTAATTTAGACTAATCTCTAAATAATAAGTGGCTTTTTTGGTACCATTTTGAAAAAGCTTGTCTGGTACCAGAAACTATATACAGGTAATACGATTGATTTTTCATTTTTCTTCTGCAACTGCTTTGCTTCACATTTAAAAGTTTGCATATGAATTGGAAATCCCATCTAAAGAATAAATAAAAGTTATCCAATGTAAAATTCTAAAATATATTTAAATGAGAACAATAGCTTTTGTATCACGATTTATTCAGTTTATCAGCATAATTTAATGACATTTCAGATTAAAATTGAAATGAGTATAAGAAGTTATAATCAAATATTTATTTGTATTAGCAAGTCAATAAACAAACATAAGCTCCACTTTTAAGTAGTATTCATTTAGAGGAGTAATAATTGTTTGGATGGGAAGGTGGTGAGCTCAGTAGCTCTTAAGTGGTATTCTACAATCTACAAAAACTTTTTTCCCCTTCAAACAACACATAATAAAAGCTAACAATTACATAGTGTTTGCGAAGTATCAGATACTCATCAACATACTTTACAGATTTTAACTAACTTTAACAACACAATAACCATGTGAGGTAGATGCCATCATAAAGTCGATTTTGTAAATGAGGGGCCTGACACAGAGGGCTTAGGAACTTGTCCAAAGTCACACAAATAAAATGAAGCAGAGGTGGGATTTAACCCATGCACATTGACTTCAGGGTATACACACAAATAGAATGCTGTTTTGTTTCTCCTGCATAGCAAAGTAATAAACAGTACTATCAGGTGGGAATGGGTAAAATTTACATTTGAATAGGGGTTATGTTATTTCAAAGTTTTAGAAATAATTGCAGCAAACATTGTACTAGCAGTTCTGTTTCAGTTTTCTTTCTTCTTACAAATTTAAATTAAATTTATTTTTCAGAGATGGGACCTTGCAATGTTGCCCAGGCTGGCAGATTTGCACTCTTGGGCTAAGTGACCCTCCTGCTTCAGCCTCCCCAGTAGCTGGGATTATAGGGGTGTGCCACCCTGTCTGGCTTAATTTCAGTTTTCTTAAAAAACAAACAAACAAACAAACAAATAATACTAGCATGCCTGTCATTTTATTTTGCCTACTGGAAACCACCAGTTAAAACAAGAAGAAAACAGGAAAACCTCCAGTTAAGAGGGTTTTAGAAAAGTGTATTTCAGAAAAAAAATAATTGTACATTCAAAAGAGTGGTTGGTTCCTTTAAATTGTTACTGATAACCTAGAATCTCATTTTAGCAACATATCTGTGTGTATTTATGTACGTGCATATACTTGTGTATGTATGTATTATGTTATGCACATATTCTCAATGATGAAAAATTTTTGTTCTCTGAGAATGGACTTTATCTGGCGATAATCAAAAGCATTATGAGCTAAAATGGGTAGATGATGTAGAGTTGGGCAATATTAACTTGAAATAAACGTAAGTTTTGGGTAGACATAACAAAATGGCCTTTTTAACATTTAGTTACCAACTATGCATTTACTTTATTAAACAAAGGATCCAAATATCTATGGAATCTACTTCTATTAGAAGGTAAGGCTCTCCCTCCTTGCCCAAGGTATTTCTGCCTCACTTCACTGGGATAATAGGTGAGAAATTTGGACTGTAACTTCTTTGCATATGGACTGTATACTGTGTTCTAGATTATGCAACACGAGATACATATTGTGGTAAAATGAGCATCCTCACATGTAATGTTATAATAATGTAGACATTTTAGTCACCCAGTAAAGTACTACCTTCATAAACAGTTCATCAGAAGAAATTTTCATTTTTATACTTGAATGAAACTCAGTCTTCCTTCATTCTCACATTTTTGGGGAAAAAATCATTTACCCACTGCAACAGTGGTCGAGATCCATTTGCTGTATGAAAATGCACTCTTCTCTCAGCATAATCTCTCTGCGGTCCCATAGACAGATTCGCTTAACCATTGCTGCCATCTGCTGGTCTTGTCATTGTTACATTTTAGAAAAAGCAGTGCATAAGGCTCCAGTCAAGATGATGCAAAATGCAAGAATCATTAATAGGTAGTTTTGTAGACCCTGAATAAGAAAAAAACAGTAACTGTGATGAATAAAGCCTGAATCAACTATACAAAATGGACAGACTCTCAAGATTGCTAGGGACCTGACTAACCATCTGCTCTAGCCACCTGTATGCTTTTTTGCTACCCCTTCCAAGTAATCAGATTCTTACAAAACCCTGCAGAGCCTTATGAATTCACCCATTCGGTAAATAAATGTGGGCACCCACTAAGCTTCAACATGTACCTTTATGCAGCCAATCATATAATATGGGAGACAGGAAGTAATCACAGAAAAGAATGTTATTATGTGAGAGAGGTGTTAATAATAAAGCAAACCACCATGGTTGTTTGAGAGTGCGTTGCAGGAATCTTAATGATGCTGGTTTGGAGGACGGGAAGTGGAGCTTCTAACTACAAGTATCAGTGAATTGGCCAGGGGAATACGGCAGCAAGTAGAGATTCCAGGTAGAAGGAATTTTATGTGCACCGTCCTGTTGTAAGAAAAAGCAAAATATTTCCCAGGGACTGAAGGGAGGTCAGTGTGACTGCAGCAATGAAAGTTAAGTGGAGCAAGATGAGATTGGAAGACCATGGACCTGAGCACTTGTTATGCTTTGGGTCCTTTGGGTCCCCCGTTTTTTTTTTTTTTTTTTTTTTTTTGAGACGGAGTCTCGCTCCATTGCCCAGGCTGGAGTTCAGTGGCATGATCTTGGCTCATTGCAACCTAAGCCTCCTGGGTTCAGGTGATTCTCCTGTCTCAGCCTCCCAAGTAGCTGGGATTACAGGCATGTACCACCATGCCCAGCGAATTTTTGTATTTTTAGTAGAGGCAGGGTTTTACCATGTTGGCTAGGCTGGTATTGAACTCCTGACCTCAAGTGATCTGCCCACCGCTGCCTCTCAAATTTGGGTCCTGTTTTTTCCAAACAAAGAGGAAGACATTAAAAAAACAGGCAGCTGGCTGTGTTAGAATTTCAGACTTGCACTGTGTAAAGCTCACACTTTTCTGCAGGATGGCAGACAGACTGGAGGGGCCAGAATGGATGCAAGGAGACCAGTTAGGAGGTGACTGTAGTCTTCCAGGGAAAAGATGATGAAGGGCAGATGGAGAGGTGGAGATGGATCTCAAGGGTGAGGAAGAAACGCAGAGAGGATGTGAAGAATGACTTAGTTGGACTTGCCCAGTTATGTATGGGGTCACTGTTCTTAAAGATGGGAACCACTTCCCTGGGTTGCCCAGCCCATCTTTGAATTAACAAAGAAATATCTTCCTGTGTTAAGTAGAAATATTTCATTTCCTATAAGTTCCATCACTAGGAGTACAGATAGATCGATTTTAATATCTCTCCCACAAGATAAATCCTCAATCATTGAAAAATAACTCTTGTATATCCCCGGAGGCATCTCTTTTCCTGGTCAATATTTTAGCTCTTTGACCATTTTTCATATGGAATGGTTTCAAGCTTCCTTACTGTCCTGGCTGCTCCCCTCTGAATGACTGCCATTTTGTCTATATCCTTCTTTATGTTTAAAGAGTCCAATTTATTTATTTTTTTTTAGTGAAAGTACAGAGACTTGTTGCAAAGTGAAAAGTACACACTTGAGAAAGGGGAACACGGACATACTAAGAGAGAATCATACAAGGGGGTTGTGGTTCCTATTTTCATGATTTCTTTAACCGACAGGTGGAATATTCATGAAGATTCCTGGATAAAGGTAACAATTTCTCAGAACTGTGGTGTCACTAATTTTTACAGCAAATATGGGTGTTCCCGGAATTGTCATGGTGCTGGTGGGTGTGTGATTTGTACGTTAATGAGTGTATAATGAGGTCCTAGGTGAAACCTAGGGCAAATCCAGCACCACGTTGGGCTCAGTTGGTCTTAGCCAGCTTGATCCGCACCCTGTTTTTCAGGGTGTTATCAGCTCATGGCCTCTGCAGCTATTTGAAGTTTCCTTTGGCTAGTCATGTGAAACTGCTGCCTGGAATTTTCCTAATCCGTGACCACCCTGTATTATTTCTGTCTCATCTCCCCGCCACTTAAAGATTTCCATCCCTTATCCTTAAGGCTTGATGTGGGAGGAAGTCAGTCTTCTGCCTCTACTTCCTGCTGATTAAGGGTACTGGCTCTGCCATTGAGGGCATGGCAATCTCTGGCTGCCTGGTCTAAGGGTCCTAAGCATGGGTCATCAGGAGAGTCTGAATCCAAGGCAGAAGACCCCAGTATTCTAAGGGAAAGTTTGAACATTACAAGGTAAAACAAGACTAGCACCTCTCTAATTTTAGATATATCTAAGATTACAATCAGATAATCTAACTTAATAATACTATTTAATAATACTATTAGATCCTTTTAAGAAGGAAAAATAACAATGGTTTATGGGTAAGTCATTGTAGAAGACACATAAGGGTTCTGGAAAAAGTAAAAAGGAATGGAGAGGAGGCAACTCTAGGCAGCAGTTGGCATCCTGCCTGCTTCAAATCTGCAAGGAACAGGGCTGGTGGCCTCCCTCTCTGGTGAAAATTCTGGCCACTGGGGTCCGACAGGTTAACAGCCTCACACTACCCAAATTTGGGCAAAACTTCAGGAAAGGTAGTGGGAAGAGAATGCTGTGTCTTTGGGGCAAGAGTTGACTGACTTGTTGGGAGGAGTGGGTTCATAAAAGCAGGACCCTGGGCTCTGTTAGAGGCTAATCCTCAGGGCTAATCTGGATTCATGAGTATCTCTCCTAATGCTCACTCAAGGACTCAGTGAAGAACATGCGCCAAAACTTGGGTTCCTACAGCCAGGCCATGCAAAGTGTAGGCTTAGGGAGACTCATTTCCCCCTGCAGAGATGCAAGCGCTTAGAGGGTGGCGGGTGGTTCTGTCTTTGCTGCCTTGCAGCCAGATCAGCTTTGAGGGAAGCCCAGAAAGGGAAGCTCTGAGTGGGCTCCCGCAGGAGACAGGGTTGGGGCAGGATAGACAGATTGACAATAGGAACACATGACTCTCCTGGCTCCACAATGAAATTCTCCCTTCAAAGAATGGACTTTTGTCTGGTTTCATTTTGTCTACTTCTCTCACACTTCCTTAAAGGTCTTGTGTTTCTAGTTTACTGGAAGAATGCAGAGATCAGAGGTAAATTTGTATAATAAATCTGAACAGAACAGAAACAAAGTCCAGGATGGAGGGAATGTGAAAACCGTCAAGGAAAGTTCTCTTGTATTATTAGTTCGTAAGATTAATGCTAACTAATATGTAACATACATATATGTTATGTATTAATTAACAAAATTAAATATGTTACTAATATTTTACACGTGTGTGTGTGTGTGTATATATATATATTCCCTTTCTTCAACTTAAAGAATCAGAGTAGATTAATTTGCCTTTGTTTGATGACCAGAGATAGGTCTTCGTAAGTTAGGTTGGGGCCAGTTGAATTGTTTGATTCAGTGTGACCCTTAGCACTAACAGAAGCCACTCAAATCCCAAATTCTACAAGAAGTACCCTAAAACCTTGCCAAGTGCAGAACAGCTTATTTAAACACGCACAGACACAGACACACAGACACACAGACACACACACACACACACACCTGGCGGTAGGCTTTGGATTTCCCAGCACCTTTTTTTTTCTTAGTTTTTAAGACGGCAATTCTCACCTAGATCCTGGTACTAATGCAGAATAGGTATTCCATAAATATTTGTTCAAACAATAAATACACTGAGGTGATTTCCACATATACTTTGTGAATTTGAAATTGATGCAATTACTTAAATTTAAAAAATGGGTCTTCGGTTACAAGCACTCTACAATCTAATTATATAAATACATTGCTAAGTGCTATTTTATTACCTATGTAGACAGAAGAATAATGTTCTCAGGGAACGAAAAATGTTTTTCCCCTTCAATGTTAAGATTCTGCCCAAACTGCCCAGTCTCCTCGAGAAAAAGACTGATTGTAGTTGGGCCACAGCAATGCTTTTCCTTCATCAAAGGTGGATGTTAACTCTTGGAAAGAGCACGCTAACATTCTTCCCAAAGCAGAAAGGTTTTCAACTTGGATTTCTGAAGTAGCTACTAAGATAACAGACCATCTCATTCTTCACTGGGGAGTAGCTTACTGACCTATACATTGTTGTGGTAATAACTGCCTGTGTTGGCATTACTGTAGACATACTGACTAAAGTGTGTTGGTAAAAATATAATTTATATCTAGCTTAAAAATGTAACAATCTAAAATGAATTTCCCAATGAGTAATGGAGATCAGATATAAAAGAATATTAGGGCCGGGTGCAGCCAACACTGTGAAACCCCGTCTCTACTAAAAATATAAAAATTAGCTGGGTGTGGTGGCGGGCACCTGTAATCCCAGCTACTCGGGAGGCTGAGGCAGGAGAATCGCTTGAATCCAAGAGGTGGAGGTTGCAGTGAGCCGAGATCGCGTCACTCCACTCCAGCCTGGGCAACAGAGCAAGACTCTGTCTCAAAAAACAAACAAACAAAAAAACAACAAAAAAGAGTATCAGAAGTATGAAAACATTCAACTGAAGCACTGATGGCATTAAAACTAAATGGAATCATTAAAGTTCTTCACACAAAAGGTGCTTGGCGCTCAGCTTTATTCCTCGCAGCTGTAGGTTGTAGATTCTTAAATATGCATCTTCAAGGACTGCTTTCAGATATATAACTGACAGCACCTATAAGTCCTGCAGATAACAGGTTTGCTTTTGTTTTCTTCTTTAGAGTTTAGGGGTTTTTGTCTTGTTTCTACAAAAATACTTTAAAAATTATTCCTATGAGATTTAGTGTTTAGTTGATGATGCTTTTCTAAACTGATTGGTATGTAAGCATTTACAATTTTTCTTTAAATCAGCTGTCAAGAGGCAATTAGGTGTCTGCAGTGAATGTTAAGTACCACTAGACATCCTTTAAATTTTGTTTGTAGATGACATATAAGATTATTTATTTGTTTATTTATTTATTTAGTTAGTTGGTTAGTTATTTTGAGACAGAGTCTAGCCCTGTCGCCCAGGCCAGGGTGCTCAGTGCAATCTCCACTTCCCAGGTTTAAGCCATCTTCCCATCTCAGCCTCCCAAACAGCTGGGACTAGAGGCACACACGACCACAGCAGGTTAATTTTTGTATTTTTGTAGAGACAGGGTTTTGCCATATTGCCCAGGCTGGTCTTGAAATCCTGAGCTCAAGTGATCTGGCCACCTTAGCCTCCCAAAAGTGCTGGAACTACAGACATAAGTCACCATGTCTGGCCCCAGGTTTTTTTTTTTTTTTTTTTTTTTTTAACTCTTTGCTTTCATCTTGGCCCTCTCTCTTCTTTTAATACTTGTAATCTTATCTTAGTCATTTTTTTAAATAGAAAAGAGCAAACAGTCATTTTCTTAGGTTTAGAAATCCTTATTTTATAAGAAAACTGGCCTAGCTAATCTAAATTGCACAATTCAGAAATATGGTACATGTGTTGTCGTGCTTTTTTTTTTTTTTTTTTTTTGCCTATTTTTACATAAATAATTAGCCAAACTTTAGAACCTACTCTAAAAAATCTAGACAGAGCTTCACTGGGATTTTACAGGAATTATACTGAAGGTAATTGGAGAGAACTGCCTAATTATAACAGTGAGGTGTTCCATCAGAAATGTGGTGAGTCTCCCATATTTTTCTGATCTTCTATGTCCTCTAGTAAATGTTTGTAGCAAAGTAAAATACAGTATTTTAAAAATCTGGCACATTACTTGTTAATTTTTTAATTAGATTTATGTAATTTTTGTGGTTACTATTAATAGCATTTATTTTCCTCTTTTTAACTGGTTTTTGGTGACAATATTGGAAGGCAATTGATTTCATATTTATTTTATATCTCAAGCCTTACTGAATGATCTTATTGGATCTTAAATTTTTCAGTTGATTCTTTAAAATTTTTATTTTAATTTTTAATATTTGTCACCAATAAATTGAAATCACAATGCTTACATTTTTTAAAAAATGTAATCTGCAAATGATAATCTTCTCATTTCTTTTCCTATATTTATTCATTTCATTTCTTATTCATGTGTTTCCAAACTAGCTAGATCTACAGAAAATATTGTATAATAGTATGGAGAAATCCTTGACTTCCAATATACAGAGAACTCTTACATTTCATGAAACTCAGGTATATAATTGCTATTTTGTTTTGATAGACATACTGTATAAAAAAACAGCATGGTAACAGGCGGCTATTGCCATTTCCTTTTCAAATGCAAATGATGGGAATTTAAAATTGCATTCATCAAATAGTTCTAGTATTAAAAAAACTTCCTAGCTTATTAAGGGGTTAGTATAGTATTATCATGTCCTTTTCATATTTGATATGGTAGAGTAAATGAGATTAATTAATTTACATATTATGAACGATCCTTGCATTCCTGAATTAAACCCTATTGGGTCATAGTACATTAATCTTAAAACTTACTTTCCTATTTGATCTGAGGTGTCTTTTTAAAGATGTCTTTACCAAAAATAAAACAAAACATTCCTCACTGTTTTTCAGTACTCCTTTAAATAAAGGACTGTAAAGAATTAATACTAGACTTTTTGGTTAGGGATTCTCTCTTTGAACAGGGTTCTTATATGTAGTTAACAGGATTTTCAATTCAGTATTATCATTGTAGTCAAGACCAAAATAATTTTCAAATGCTTTAATATAAGTCTGTACTTATATTACAGACTTATAAAATATGTACTTCTTTATACCTATAATTACTGATAAACTGTGATCACTAATTTGTGATTTTCTAAGGCTTCAGCATCTTACATGAGATAATAACCAATTCGTTAACGTAAACAAATCATTTTTTGTGAGGTAGATGAAATATGTGTAGAGAGATTTACAACATATTTTGGGCACAGAGTTACTTTTTGTAGAATGAAACTCCGACTACAATAAATGAGAAATGTTCACGAAAGTAACTTACAGGTTTATAAATGTTTCAAGTTGTTCTTAGGTATTTAAAAAAATAAAAATTCTGATCACAGTCCACATGTTTTTGAAACAAATTTATTTTTTAAATCTGCGAATGTTAATTGTATTATCAAATAATGGATTTTAAATCAAAATATTTCATTTACAATGATTGAAATGATGTTTTAAATCTAAAATTGAATAATCATTTTAAAGATCAGGTAGAAGTACATTCACTTTATGGTTCTTAGAGATTAGCAACATTAATCTCCTTAGAACCAGGAATTCTTTGCTACTACAACTGCATATTAAGACAAGTCTGTGATGCCTTGACAGGGGGAGAGGTCTTTGGATCAATATTGTCTTTAATAAAAATTCTTAGAAAAGAATAACAGAATTTTATTTGCATATATTCCTCAACTGAAGACTTTTTCTACAAGTAAAGGTAACTGGGAAAAGTTCTAAAGCAATTTTTTAGAAAAAGTTTAAACATTTTAAAATATTTAAATTGTTAAGGAGACAGGGTCTCACTATGTTGCCCAGGCTGGATTTGAACTCCTAGGATCAAGTGATCCTCCTACATAGTTGGACTACAGGTAGATGCCACCATGCCTGGCTAGAAGGGGAGAAGTTCTCTGATTTTGTGTTTTCTTATTATTTCTTTCTTTTTCTTTTTTTGAAGAGACAGGGTTTCACTCAGCTGTCCAGATTGCAGTGTAGTGGTATGATCATGGCTTGCTGCAGCCTTGACCTCCTGAACCCAAGCAATCCTCCCTCCTTAGCCTCCTGAGTGGCTGTGACTACAAGTGTTCACCACCACACCTGGCTAATTTTTAAATCATTTATGTAGAGATAGGGGTTTCGCTATGTTTCCTAGGTTGGTCTCAAACTCCTGGGCTCAAGCAATCCTCCCACAAGTGCTGGGATTACAGGTGTGAGCCACTGCTCCTAACCTGTTTTATTTTTCTATCGACAGTTTGGGCTAGGTTATATGACCCTCACCCCCAAAATTAACTGAGCATTTATTGTGTTCTCGGTAGTGTTCTTAGCACTTTACTCATATTCTCACAGCTCTCTTGGTTATCCCCATTTTCGGATAACGACTATATGCACAGAGAGGTTAAGAAACTTGGCCAAGGTCACACAGCTAGTATGTGACAGAGCCAGGATTTGAACCCAGTTGGACTCCTGAGACTATACCTTTTGTTGTTGTTGTTGTTATTGCCCAGACTGGCCTCAAACTCCTGGGCTCAAGTGATGCTGCTGCCTCAGCCTCCTGAGTAGTTGGGACTATAGATGCATGTCACCATGCTTGGCAAAGTGATTTTTAAAGAAAACACACACACACGCACGCACACACACACACACACTTTTACTAGAACTATTTGATGAATGCAATTTTAAATTCCCATCATTTGCATTTGAAAAGGAAATGGCAATAGCTGCCTGTTACCATGCTGTTTTCAAATTGCTGGTTTGACATGGAGGCCTTTGGGAGAGTAGGAACCAATATAAACATCTATTCCCAAGGACGATCTACCTCAGGGGATACTTTAACCTTTAGGATAAAAAAAAAATCTTTCATCTTGTTTATCTACCGTATTTTAAACAAATTTCCCAGTCTCATATTTCATTGGGTTATTTAAAATCACTTCCGGGAAATTTAAGTCGACGACAGCATTTTTCCATTGGAGATGGGGTGGAGAGAGACACGATGTTATAATGATAATTATAATTATCATAGCTCTAGTATTTTCTTTCCTAATTAGGCATTATCACATTCTGAACATTTTACCTGTCAGATCCATTCATGGGCTGTCTGCCCTGGACCTGGGTACCACAGGCAGTTTTCAGAAAATAATGCAAACATAATATTAAATACTTTACTTACCTGGATGCATTCCCATTTTCTTTTCTTTTTTGGGATGGAGTTTTGCTTTGTTGCCCAGACTGGAGTGCAGTGGTGCGATCTTGGCTGACTGCAACCTCTGCCTCCTGGGTTCAAGTGATTCTCCTGCCTCAACCTCCCAAGTAGCTATGATTACAGGCACACACCACCACACGCGGCTAATTTTTTGTATTTTTAGTAGAGACAGGATTTCACCATCTTGGCCAGGCTGGTCTTGAACTCCTAACCTCGTGATCCACCTGCCTCAGCCTCCCAAAGTGGCAGGATTACAGGCATGAGCCACCGCGCCTGGCCTATCCCATTCCCATTTTCTGTCTGCCCTTTCTCGTACATACCTTTATTTCCTTAAACATGAAGACGCCCCACATTGCAGCTATAAATCCTGGACCCTTAAATAAAAATATAAACTTTAATTAAATTGGATATTTACCTATGACTAGATTCTATATAAATATAGTAAGTTAAAGACAATATAAAAATGTTTTCAGGGAAATCTACCCATAATATCAACCCTAACTCCACACTAAGCTAAACATTAGGTGATACTAAGTAAAAAAATGAAGACTTTTTTTCATTTTCTTTTCTTCGTGGTCTTCATTTTTATTATTTTGATGATACTATAATATTTTGTGCCACATAATACTTTAATATGTTTGACATAAATTATTTTTATAAGCACATAGCTTATTTTTTCCATTGGCCTAGTTCCTTAGGATACTAGAAATGGGATTAATAAGAAAAAGTGTGCACAAGCTTCTAACTTTCTTTGGCATGAGATAATCTCGTAACTGAAGAAATTTTGGCATATTATTTTTGGCCTAACAAATAATGTACATGTGGAAGTAGCTCGTGCTTTAAAAAAAATTTTAACTGATATTACTGCAGAGCAATCAAGTCTGGCTAGCATTAAACACCAACGAATGCTAAAAAAAAGGTTTATGGTAAGGTTAAAATAAACATGTAAGGAAAAACAACAGGAGTTTCTGGGCAGGAGACAAAGAAAAGAATGAAATAACATAGGACAGAGGAAATGAGAACAAACAGGTAAAGAAAAGGAATGATTCTGCAATTTATAAACTTTAAGCTATTCAAGTTTGGTGGTAATTTTTCTTAGCTGAGAAGAAGAAAATTGGAATGTGGGTTAATTGTGGTCTTTGTAGAGAAGGTGTATTGTATTAGCATTTTTATGATTGCTCTTCAAACCCCGAGAAACTCTGGAAGAGTTTCAAATAGATTCCAAAATGTTTTTCCCCTATCACTACTCCAACTGTCTAAAGAACTGAGTCAACGAAGTTTGATTCCACTCTTGGTATGTAAGTGAAGCAAAAGAATACACTCCTCTCTGTTTATCAGTATCTGGAAAGTCAACACCAAAAGAGCCAGAGAAATAGGTCAAAGGAACTGCCTTTTATCAATGATATAAGTTCCTAAGCCTCAAAATCCAAATCAAACAAGAAGCATATGGGTCTTTTGGGCAACCCCACACTAACTTTCAGCAGAATAGGAGGAAACAATAGAACAGGATACCATATGAATGTTATGCTAATCACTCAATAATTTTTAATCTGAAAATCCATTTCCCTTCAGAGAACATGGTACAGGACAATACCAGGGGGTATCATTCACCTTTGAAGATTCTTGTCTGATTGTTTTCTAAATATGAGTTTAGGCATGGCCTAAGAGTTATTGTGAGTAATGTGGTTATAGGAAGGGTGCTTTGGTAAAAGTAATGCAAGCATAGGTCAAGGTATGTACTGACTCTTTGATTCAGGCCACGGAGAGCCAAATAGGAAGGATATCTTAATAGGAGATACAACAGTTGGTAATTTGGATTGTATATTTTCCTTTTGTAAATTAATGTATGTTAGGTGTAAATCAGCTTTTGAAAACAAAGTGAACTCGCTCCTATCTTGAGAATAAGCTGATTCAGTTTAGAATTTTCAAGGAAGACATGGAGCAGCTCCTGCTAGGTAACTTTTTTCTTTCTTTCTTTTTTCTTTTGGCTTTTTAATGGAATGTTATTTGCTAATAAAGAAAATGGATACTACTTTCAGGAAACTCAGTTCTAGTTACCACCGGATATATAACTATGGGAATATGTATACCTGGGAAGAAAAGTACTGCTGGGATATTAAAAATGTATTCTGATAAAATTGATTGACCATATTCATAATCGTTGAAACTAGGTGATAGGTTAGTTTGACATTTTATGTTTAAAAAAGTTTCAAAAATCTAGCCCTTCCAAAAAAATAAAATGATGAAGACTGTAAGATTGTTGAGGGTAGGGACTAAATCTTTTCTGTCTGTAGATAAGGTTGTTCTTGGATAAAGTGACTAAAATAAAACCAAGCAAAGGCCTGGTAGCAATAGGGACCTACTCCCTCACCAACTCCAAATACCTGTCCTTCCCAGATAACAAGCACCAAGCACACAAGGTAAGAAAGTTACACGTGGTGAGTGAGAAGGCTCTGCTTCCATTACAGTTTTTCAAGAATAATCTCTGTGATGGGCAGGTCGCCGAAAGCCACAGTGACCACTCTCACTGATCCTCTGCCCACACCCACCTACTTCAGTGGTTTATTTCCTTTGAATTAGCCTTTCATTTTGTCCTCAGTCTTTATACTAACTCAAAACAAGAAACAATGGTAGAAAAACCAACTCTCTGTCTACTATAAAAGTTTTGTGAAGGATATTGTTTATTTGTTTTTCAATGTTGCCTTTAAGAGATCCCATATGATACATTCTACTAAGAATTCAATGCAAAAAAGAAATAATTGTTCTGTTCTGAGGACATAATATGCTGCTAATAATAAGAATTACTTACCCCATTGCATTATCCTTTTGAAAACACTAAGTAAAGTTTAATGTTTAATCACAGCAACTATTTGCCGTTTACACTATTTGCTCCCTTTCTTGTCTTTACCACGGTTTTATTTTTTATTTGTGTTTGTATTTCTATTTGTCTGTGTGGCTTAATTGCATCTGTGTATTTTAGAAAAAATTGCCTCAAAACCTTCTTGGAGAACTCACATCTGCTCAATACTATAATTTGAGTAAAAGAAAAAAAATCACTATTACATGATAAAGATAAAAGTTTACATTTGATGTAAATAATGGCTTGTTCTATTTTAATAAATATTATTCCCCCTTATGTGGTGGAATTTAATATTTTCAAATAACATTTGCATCTATAGCCAAGGGACACATCATACTGTATACTTTTCTCTACAAATTTGCTTTTGTGCATTTAACAGGTAAACTTTATACCCACTGCCTGTCACTTCTAACATTAAGTGTCCTTGAAATAAGGAGGAACACGTCCCTTGTTGGAAAGAATTTGGGTCCTTTGCCATTTCAATTGTGAAGAGTTTAGACCTACAGAAATTCTTCATAACTTGCTAGATTTTCCCTCAGCAGGATTAAAAATGTTAAAATGTAGGTTCTTTAAATTTTAAAGAAAAAACCCTTTATTATTTGAATTTAGTTGCATTTGAAAGTTAACTATTTTACAGAGTAGAACTGTCAAAATATACTGTTTGATACCCAGGGTTTATATCAAATTTTATCAATGGTTTTTAGACTAGATATTATTTCTAAAAATCAGTTTTCTAGCTTTACACAGGTATGCAAACACTAAAATGTTTTAGATAAATTTTGTTAGTGATGATGATTTTGGAAGCAGGGTATGCAGTTGAATGCTGGTTAGCAATTTACAATATCTAGGGTAGACCTAAGAGTCCAACATGAAAGCAGTTCCTATATGTATATATCAGTCCTAGTACCTTAGTGAACCTGAAACAAATTCTAAATTAGATTCCATGCTGATGGCAGAAAGTAGCACTGTGTACTGGGAACCCTGGACTTAAAAGTCTTCAGATTTTCCCTAGCTATGTGACTTCAGATATATTCTTAGCTATTGCCTCAATTTTCTCATCTTCAAAATGGGAATAATCTTATGAGTACTTATTTTGCCTACGTAAAAAAAAGTTTTTCTATTATCTATGTTTTATATAATTGGCACCTAAAAAAATGGATGAAGCAAATTGTATTAAGTATGCTGTAATAAGTGGTATCATCCAGAGACAACACCTTGCTTTAGCACTTTCAGAAAGTTTTACTTAAAAACAGTGAAGTATCAGGAGGCTGAGGCAGGAGAATGGCATGAACCCAGGAGGCAGAGCTTGCAGTGAACCGAGATTGTGCCACTGCACTCCAGCGTGGGCAAAACAAAACAAAACAAACAAACAAAAAAACACACACACACACACACACACACAAAACAAAAGAAAAACACAGTGAAGTACCATAGGAAGAGGTGTCTGAAGTACTTTCAATCTCACAAAATTGTCAAGACATTGATGTGGTAATAGGCATAAAATCATTTTTTATATTTATAAACTTTTATATAAGGAGAGAATAATAGTTACAAATAGCAAATTACAATGTCTCTAACATGACATTAGATAAACCAATCAAACCAAAAACTGCAAGGATATTAAAGATTAAGGATTAATAGCCCTGCTAAAATGAGGTGAGAAATATTCCTTAGCAATCAAGCACATGAAGATTCAATAGGGTCACTTTGTCTATCCGAATCCATTAATTGCACTCCTAAAAAATCAAACTCCATGACAGTCTTTAGTGATGCCCTAACAGTGCTTCAGAAAAATCAGGATTACATTTATAAAATGAAAATTTGGAGAAACAGTTCAGCTACTTACAGCAGTGATTATTGGAAAACTGACCACAGCACTCAGAGAGTGATTTGCTATGAACCAACAGCAGGTAGCTATTGCCCAAAGTACTCCTGACAGGAATCCTGAAATACAAAGACAACACACATTTGCAGACCATGTTCCCCTCCTGAAGAACTCACACTTAAGCTACCACAGGAATATCAAAGTGCACATATAAATACATTCCGATCAATGTTGTTGGCCAATATGGAATTTTGAGCTGTGTTTTATTGTTATTTTAGAACCAGGAATTTCTCTACTCTTGCCTGCTATGGGTAGAGTGATTGATGCTTTCACATTATCGGCATTAAAGTATCCATAGTAGTCAAAGAGGTAGAGATTGGGTGGTGAAAAGGGGCCTAGGGGACATACTGAACCCAAACATTCTCTGCAAATATCATTTACTATAAACCATAGATATTTATAAAATGAATCAGAGTGATGCTACAGCCAAGAAAACAAAACAAACAAACAAAAACCCTATAGTATTTAAGTAAAAATACCAGCTAAAACTTTCACAGTACTTTAGCTAGGCATTCGGTAAAGTATTCTAGCATTTTCCAAATGGTGGCATTCTTTAGCATAAATCTGTTAGGCATTCAGAATAAGTCTCTGACTTATGCTTTATTTTTGCCTTTAAAAAATTTTACTTGTGGACCTACATTCCAAATTGAATTATAATAAACTCCTAAATGAGATTTTTTTTAAAAAAGATCAATGCCTAATGAATTAAGTCCAAAAGCATGTATGTTTAACATATGTCTTTTTTGAAGTCATCACAATCTCTTCTTACATTTTGTAGAAACTGTTTTCCCAAGTTACTGCATATTCCTATTTGTTGATATATGAACCCTTAGATAGTGAAAAAGAAATAGTAAAGAACGATGATCAATACAGAAGATATTTGGCACAGGAAAATATCTTATTAATAAACTTATTGTTTAAGTTTTAGGTTCTGTAATAATGGCCAACATTTCATATTCAGTTTCAAGGATTTAAAATACTTCATATTTGGTGGTGAACTGGGCAAAAGTAATTAGGGGGAATGAACACACACACACACACACACACACAAACACACCACACATACACACAGAGGATGGCTTTGTTTCCAGAAGAAACGTATTCAAGTTAAATGAGTTGTAGATGATACTTTCACATAGTAAGATCTGTAGTACATATTCTTACCTGGTAGGACTGCTTCAGGATATAGCTTAGGACTATTTTTCATGGCTATGCAGTAGGCCAGAAAGTAGACAGAACTTGTAAGAAAGATGCCACTGAAGTGTGCAAAAACATAGTCTAAATCTGAAAATAGAGATTAAAACCTCTCAAACACCATTTTCATCATTCCAGATATATTTAGATTTCTGAAAATAAACTCACCAAAATTAACCTTAAAGGTAAAGAAACCATTAATCAGGCTGGGTGCAGTGGCTCACACCTGTAATCCTAGCCCTTTGGGAGGCTGAGGTGTGCGGATCATGAGGTCAGGAGATCAAGACCATCCTGGTTAACTTGGTGAAACCCCACCTCTACTAAAAACACAAAAAATTAGCCTTGTGTGGTGGTGGGAGCCTGTAGTCCCAGCTACTCGGGAGGCTGAGGCAGAAGAATGGTGTAAACCCAGGAGGTGGAGCTTGCAGTGAGGGGAAATCATGCCACTGCACTCCAGCCTGGGTGACAGAGCGAGGCTCTGTCTCAAAAAAAAAACAAAAACAACCAAAAAAAAAACCCCCCCAAAAAACCATTAATTATATTTACTCATCTTAGTTTTCTACATGCTGTTCATATAGAATTTTAATTAATATATTTAAAATCTAGATGCATTAAGTAGTAAATTTGTTCCTATAATCAAAACTAAAGGCTAGCTTTTATGATCATCTGGTAAAGCTAAATAAGAAACAATGAATTATGTAACTATGATGTTAATACCTCCCTTTTAAAATAGGCATTCAGGCCTAATTTTACTAATGACAATAGAAATTATAGCAAATCCTCAGGATGACCACAGTGAGGATGTGAATGAAAAAAACTGGGGGTGCTAATTTTATAGGATCCATTGATCAATCTGGAGACCAGCATCTCTGTTGCAGATGACAGCTGTACAGAAGGCTATTCAGGAAGTTAATCCAGAGAGGGTTTTATTCAATTGTTGATTATAAACCTAAGTACATGGGGGAGTTAATATCACATGATGGTAGCCCAATCTCGGAAAAATTCCAACTCCACTGACTGTTTAAGCAGATGGGACTGTGGCCACACAGATGGGTGCACTACAGGTTCTTGGCTGGGAAAGCCATGTTGGACTCAATGTTTCTGTCCCCTAAAATTTTGACAAAGATGAGTGGCCATGTTTAGGAAGTAAAGCTTAACAGACAGGGAGTTTGTCTGTTGCTCTAAGTCTTAAATCCTACTTCTGGATCATGTAAGGGCAATACATCTGTATACGGACCACCACAAAGGAAAGCAAAATACAGTGATTAAAAGCATGGGCCATCTGGGTACAAATCCTCATTTCAATACTTACTAACTTTGGGGCTTGGACAAATCATCTCATGTCTCTGTCTTAATTTTCTCCATTGTAAAACTAAGATAATAAGGGTATTAGTTGCTATGAGAATTAACCGAGTATTTATAAAATACTTAGGACAGACCACATACTACATATATGTTGTTAAATAAATGAAATAAAAAATAATCCCCCCTAATTTTTTTTGAATAAACTGGGATAAAGTGTCCCCATCACATTACATTCAGAGTTGTCACAAGCAAGACCCCTAAGAAGCCATTGTTCTCTTTGTGTAGAGATTGTTGAGGACATTGTTTATTATGTCCCTGTACCAAGAACATCTGTGCTCCTGAACAATTAGGTTTTTTTTATCTTGTGCTCATTGAATCATGAGGCTGATCTGATTTTCCTTGTGCCTACAAGGACTCTAAGAGCCAAATTTACGCCTCCTTTCTAGCAAGTATGCAAATATAGTACAAGGATTTTAGACTCATTTCTGGTTCCTTTTATACACCCACTCTTGTTTTTCTTTCTTTAGTGAGACCTTATTTTAATTTGTCCTATGTTATTCTATTTTTGTTAGTTTTTATCTTTTTGTAAAAATGCAAAAAAGGATTTGTGTAAAATTTTAACAAGAGAAAGAAATCAATAAAAGGTTTGGATGATATACATGGGGATAACTACAAAAAGGAAGATGGAAACTATGGCATCTACTCAGTCTATCTTTTCTGTTAAAGTTGAGTTCAAATCTGAAATTCTTTAATAATTATTCCCCCATGAATTTTGCCCTCCAAATTCTCCTTTATCTGAACAGAGGTCACATTAATTTTCTGTGCCATCTGATTTAGAACTTTATGAATAATCTTATTCTCTTATCATTTCATGGGTGTAAGTCATGCTGCAACATAATCAGAGGATCCCCAAAGTAAACACTCATTCATCTCCTTTTGAACCTGTACAAGGCTATTGAATATAGTATTGAGTTTACTCCTGGAGATTAATTCTATCAATGGAAACTCAGAGATTAACAGGAAACATTACGCTGGGCCTTCCAGTGCACGACTCTGTGCTTGAAAAATAATATCCTCTGACCATATAGGCTATACATTAACCTTTACCTGATTTTAAAGTACTATGCACTATACTTTAGCCTTTTTAAAAGAGCAGAAATATACATATTTTCCCAGAGATCATCTAACTGAAACATAATTTCCAAATGTTACTGGAAAGTCAGAAGCCATGTGTTAAGATCCAAGTAGTTGAAAAGAGTCCTGACTAAAGTTGGTTGCATTTGTATGTTAAAGATCATATGAAAATACTCAATCCTTTATTATTTTTGGTCTTCAGTGCCTTTCTAATTCATCACTTACAATGACAAAGAAAGATCGAATCGACCCATCAATATTTACTATTATCACAATTCTTTTTATATTCATACAAATATATATTAATAAAGTAAGATAACTTTTTATTCTCACCATATTGGCTTGCCCCTGCATATATACTATCATTTCTTTTGCTGTGGTCCTTGATATAGATGATTGGCACAAATGTAGATCCATAGAGTACTCCAGATATCACTGCAAGACTGCAGCCCCTTACAAAACAAACAAATCACTATTAATCTTGGCCCAAAGCAATATTTCTCACAAACGCACAAACGGAATCATAAACATGCTTCAAAAGGCAAATCACAAACAGGCAAAAAGCACCCATTTATCTCAAGCTCTGTGACTGACAGAAGTCACAGAAATACCCTGCACTATTAAAGTGGCATCAGGACTAGGAGGACAGCTTTAGTCCACCAGTGTCTAATTTTAGAAGTACATGATTTATAGAAATTAAAATGGATTATAAATTGTTATTACATGGATGAGAATATTGCTACAGTTATATTGTACGGTCTACATAAATAAACTTGGCACTCTAATTAAATTGAGATATCTATATACTGACACCATGCTTTATGCTTTTTTAAAAATTTTAACAGGCCATCCTATCCAGCACAGAACTAGGACAGACTAAGTACTAAATGCATGTTTGTTGAAAACAGCTATTGAAATCCATGAACTTGCCTATGCCTTAGTTGACAATGCCATGGTCAAGAGGAAGTGCTGATTTAATTAAATAATCTGGGTATTTCAGACAAAACATTCCTTTTTATAAAAAGAAAATGTTTCATTTTCAGCACTGGAGTTAGAATTGGGCCGTATCTGCATGAAGCAAGCATTTCCAATGATTGTAGGGGGAGGTGATTCATATTTTGGAACAGTTCCTTGAAGTTAACACAAAGGACGATGACAGAAGACAGAAAACAGGCCAGGCGTGGTGGCTTTCGCCTGTAATCCCAGCACTTTGCCACTGCACTCCAGCCCAGACGACAGAGTGAGACCTTGTCTCTAAAAAAAAAAAAAAAAAAATCACACAAAAAACCCTCCAAACAGAAAACAGTTGCAGGCAAAAACAATTCCCTCCAAAGCTTAAAAACTAACTTAGTCAATTTAAACAGTACTATAAGTAATATGAGCCTGTACAAACTCACAAGACCACCTTGGCAACATGTTCTACTCATAGTGGAAATCCTTGTGTCACGTGAGGTCTAGACTTCATAGCCGTGGAGCATCCCAAACACAGAGAAGACTTTAGGCCTAGCTAATTACAAGACAACTAACAATATTTTTCTTAACAAATATCTTAATGAAGGGGAGGCTTTGTGAAAAAAATTTGAAAAAATTTTTTGTTTTAAAGATTGGTTTTATTCTGATGCAAAACCAGCAACATATTTATTTCTTCCAAAGGTGGTTACTCTTTCATTCATTCAAATTATTCAAATATGTATTATCTACTATGTGTCAGGTGCTGCTCTTTCCCCCTGTAAAAATAGTATATACACTATCAAAAAGAAGGTTTTCTATTCTTGAGTCAAAAGGTGCCACCACATGAAGTTTAAAGCAGCCATCAAATGTAAAATGCAAGCTATAGACTAGTGTGTATTTTCATATTTATTTGGAAGTCCAAAAACCAAAACAGAACAATGACCAAAAAAAAAACAAAAAAACACACACTATAAAGTAGAGGGGCTGATGTTGAGGCCAACTCTCTGAGTCCTTATGGAGATAGGGGGAGTAGGACTCACACGGACACAGAATATTCCACTATGTTTGACAATGAATGTCTGGAATTATGTAACTGTCTAAATACAGGAGTGTGGGGATTCCCAGAGCAGGGTGGACATCCCGGGTGGTGCAGTGCTAGACAAGCTTATTGCCTAATCTGATTGTGACTGCTGAGAGCGGGTTGGTCACAATACTACCTCTTTTACTTTAGCTACACAAGTCATGCAAAATTAGGTTGCTTTTATTATCTACCTCTCATTTGGAGAGAAATGCAATGATTTAGTAATTACTCAAAGCAGTTGAGCTCAAGGGCATCTGTACCTAAAATTCAGCAGGGGACAAACAAAACCTCGTCGCATGGAGATAGAAGTCAAAGCTTGCATTACTATTTTCTTCTTGAACTGAGATGAACATTACTTCATGCTGGTAATCACTGCTTTAACCAAATATGAAGCAGAATAATAGAGCAAAGAAGTAACTTCTCCTTACACTATGCGGTGGTGTACTGTAGAAAGTTTATCCACCCAGGAACAGGGGTCTTGAGTTTTGTTGATCACCTATAGAAAACATTGACCCAAATTAAAACAAAAAGAGCATTCAATTGATAATCACACTGGTGATAATATTTCTAGTGTTTTTCTCTTCTCTTTCAAACATGCTTTAAAATATAATAAACATGTCACCTATATATTCTGATATCTCTAAACTCAACTATTTATAATTCCTCTTTCATTTAGGATGACTTGGCAGTTGGCAAATCCTCCATTTCAAATTTTCACATTTAGTATGTGACTGTTGTGATACACCTATAAAAACTAATAAAACTTATTCACTCATGTTTCATTTGCATATTTTAATGGTCTGTATAATCTGTAAGGAAATTAGACTGTCCTCCTATGGAACGCTTAAGATCAATGAGCATTTCTTATACTGATTTTTTTTTTACCTAATTAGTTAATAAAATATTCCAAGCCATGTTTCAATATGAGGCTGATATTCTAAGTCAGGAAAAATTATGAGCAAATTCATATTTCTACTATGGAATTACAGTATCCCTCCCTTATCTGTAGTTTCGCTTTCTGTGGTTTCAGTTACCCACTGTCAACAGTAGTCCAAAGATATTAAATGAAAAATTCTGGAAATGAATATTTCATAAGTTTTCAATTGCACACTGTTCTGAATAGTGTAATGAAACCCTGCATCGTCCCTCTCCATCTCACCTGGAATGTGAAGGATTCCTATGTCCAGCCTATCCATACTGTATACACTGCCTGCCCCCCAGTCACTTAGTAGCTGTCTTAGTGATCAGATACAAAGAAATAGTATGTATAGGGTTTGGTACTATCTGTGGTTTCAGGCATTCCTTGGGTGTCTTGGAACATATCCCCTGTGGATAAGGGGAGTATATTATAATACTGCCTCTTAGCTTAAGTGTTCTTTTTTTCTTTTCTTTTCTTTTTTTTTTTTGAGATGGAGTTTCACTCCTGTTGCCCAGGCTGGAGTGCGGTGGTGTGATCTTGACTCACTGCAACCTCCTTCTTTCAGGTTCAAGTGATTCTCCTGCCTCAGCCTCTCAAGTAGCTGGGATTACAGGTGTATGCCACCACACCCAGCTCATTTTTTTTTTTTTTGTATTTTTAGTAGAGATAGAGTTTCACCATGTTGGACAGGCTGGTCTTGAACTCCTGACCTCAGGTGATCTGCCCACCTTGGCCTCCCACAGTGCTGGGATTATGGGCATGAGCCACCATGCCTGGCCAGCTGAAGTATTCTTGATAATATACTCTTACTGTTTTTGTAAGAGACAAGAAAGTAGGTTTGAATTTTTTGTTATGTGCTAAGTCAAGTTTTCCTTTGGCAATAACGGTTTCTTTCACCGTAAGGAGCTCATGATACGTGTTTGCGTACCCATCAATCATGCTGTTTATGGATCTTTAAACTTATTGCCTAGAAAAATCTCAGGCAGTTAACCTACTATGTATCTTTTACCAAAATGCATTTGTTTTATTATTTTCTTCCATTGTTTTGGAGGATGGTCGGGCAGGAGGTGTCTGGATCCCTGAAGCAGGCAAGGAGCCCTTTCCCAAAGCCAAATCCTCCCTTCTGCCTGAAACATTTCCCTGATTAGAGATGCCTGTGGATTAATAAGCCTCTTCTCTTTACACTTAAGCTAATTACTATTCAACTTTAGCATCAATTTAACTAAGGCTTTAGTTGATAAAAGTTTTGATAGGGGAAGAAGGAAAGGGGAAAAGATTAATTTTGAAGATAAGCACCCTGCGAAGGGGCAATACCCCATTGGGGGTGAGGAGCGCTGGATTCAGAGGGCAGCTGGATAGCACTGGCCCAGGGCAGACAGGAGCGATTTCTTGAGATGAGAAGGATTAGGGCCTGGGTTCATGGCAATGGGGCTTTGCCCTGAAGTCACTTTTGTATATGCAGCTGCTGACACTTGTGCTTTATCAGGTCCCTTTAAAAAGTTGCTCCTATTTCACTCAGATTTACTATTCCAGACTAATTTAGATTCTTCAAGGTCAAAACAGTGACTCCTATCATATTTTCTGTTTTTCACTTTGGGTGGAATGGGATACCAATTCCTACTCTCATACGACTTCACTTACCTTTCATGGGCTTCCTATGGTCTATTCTGCCCTGGACCAACTTCCAAACTTCCTTCCTCCTCCTTTCTAAAGTTACTTTCACATTCCTCTGCAGTATTTAGGGTTCCTCTATTGCATGAATCTTTAAATTATTACAAAACATGGGGATATATATATATATATATCACCTAGTAGAGATCTGTTAATCAAAATAAATAAACCTGTGTGCTAGCTGAGACGCTCAACTGTGGAAATACTGATTGATTGCTACATAGACCTAGCCACAATAAATAAGCTTAGATATTTTACATCGCCAGGAGTGATGAGCAAATACCACTTTTTCATCTGTGTTTGAAATTTATGTATTTTCCATTTATCTTAATTTTATGTTTCAAATCAAGTTGTCTCTCATACTATACTCACAGGCTCTGTTATTAATGGAGTGGTATCCACGGAACACGTGTTATTTGGTATTTCACTTTTGATGAACAAAAATATGAAAGCACTGCAAGGAAAATAAAGTTTAGTGATATTTGTCATAATACTGGTTTATATCAAGCTGCTTGATTTTTAAGAAAAAAACACACATCTTAAATAATCGGATCCTAAAGATACAATGATTACTTTCAAATTGCCCCTTCAGTGGTCCTGCCGTTTTGCCAGAACTCCTATTCTCTCAGATGTTTCTCATTTTCCTTAATTACAACGGGCTAAAGGCTAAACTCATAAGCTTTCCTTCCACATCAGATCTTTCCCTTAACTTTGAAATCACATTGTAAAAGAAACGCAAATGAAAACTACATTGTGTCCTTTGTAGGGACATGGATGCAGCTGGAAACCATCATTCTCAGCAAACTATCGCAAGAACAGAAAACCAAACACCGCATGTTCTCACTCATAGGTGGGAAATGAACAATGAGATCACTTGGACTCGGGAAGGGGAACATCACACACCGGGGCCTATCATGGGGAGAGGGGAGGGGGGAGGGATTGCACTGGGAGTTATACCTGATGTAAATGACGAGTTGATGGGTGCTGACGAGTTGAGCAATATGGCACAAGTATACATATGTAACAAACCTGCACGTTATGCACATGTACCCTAGAACTTAAAGTATAATAATAATATAAAAAAACACCAAAAAGTAAAAAAAAGAAAGAAAGAAAGAAAGAAAACTACATTGAAATAATATTTCTTAGCTATTATATTGACCAACTTCAAAAGTTGAACATCCTCAGTTGGACAAACGCTAGGGGACAGATACTCTTAGATACTGCTGGTAGAAGTGCAGAACTGTATGACTCCCACAGAGGAGAATCTGGGGTGATCTACTGAGGCCACCAGTGTGTCCACTCTTCACCTTACCAATCCTGCCCCAGGACCACTCACACAGGTACACCCAAACTCAGGTGAGGTGGCCTACATGGTCATACAATGGAATACTATGCAGCTGTAAAAATGGAATGATGATGATATCTATGCTCTGATATGGAAAGATCTCCAGGATATAGTTTAAGAGATAAAAACATACATTTAAGTCTAGTGACATTTTTCCCTTTAACATCTCTCTCATAATATGCTATTGATGTCCTGTATCTTTGAAACAAATGCCTCACTTACTCTTGGCTTTTAAGCCTTGCAAATTTGTTAAAATGCGTCAAAAGATTAAATTAACTTGAGAAGATGAACAACGTTGGGATACTTTTAACATCTCTTTTGAAATACTTTTAAAATACATTTGCATGGTTCAACATTTCAAACAAAATAAGCTTTCAAAGCATATATGACACTGAAATAGGGTAGGTAGCTAGGTACAGAAGAGTGTCTATCATGTGCTATCTTTTGTGTAAAAATTAAAATGTTCTAGTTAGGTTTCTTTGTTCAATCTCCTACTTGCTTTAAAACATGAATAGTTTCCTATTCCTTTCCATATGAGATTTAACTTTCCTTTTTGATTTTTATGGCTCTCTGCATTATGTTCCACTCAACGTATCTCAACATAAATCCTCGTATGGGCTTCTATGCCTGACCACTGCCTGCTCCAAGCTCTCTACCAACCCCTCCCCAATTTTTCACAATGACTTGCACCTGCTTCTCTTTCTTCCCTAGCTGGACACCCTACATACTCTGTGTCCTATCCAAACTAAACAAGAGTTGAAGTGTTGAATGTGGTTTAAAAAAAAAAAACTTTCCCTTGGGCCAGTCCTCACTGAATCTTCCTTTTTGAATCCCCACAACACTAAGAATAGTTACCACACAATCTAGACCATTTGCCACAATGTAATCTTTTTTCTCTAAAGATTTTCTAATTCAATAGAAGCCAGTGTTGGGGTCCAAAAATGATACCCCAAATTACGGCACTTTGGCATGCTGAGTGCTTTGAACTATAGGAGATTGGAAGGCCTTAGAAGCAACCTCAGAAGGCAAGTCTCTCTCTGACTTCCTCATGCCTTGATGGCTTCCACTCACCTTTCTCCCACAAAGCAGACCACAGAAATTAGAATTCCTCTTCTCCAAGATAAGTCATGGACACTAGAATCCCTCTTTCTCAAAGCCAGCCATGAAACCTAGATCAGTTACTCTAACAACTCCCAACCTTCCACTTTCTGTGTAGGAGCTGGCTATACAGAAATTCTCTGACCTACCTTGTCTAGATCATAAGACTCTCATTCCAGAGGGGTCCTGCTGCCTATCAAGGAGGAAGAAATACTACACAAAGAGACCAAGAAGAATCTGAACAGGCAGGTTTCGCTGTGTTTCTCCCCTCAGTCTATTACCATTAGATCACACCCTTTGTGTAATTACATTTCTACATGGCTGTCAAATCTTCAAATCTAAGCAGAAAAACAGATGTTTTTTTCCCTGCGTCTTTGGGTCTTCAGGTTCCCATGTCATGCAGAACTTTGATTAAATTTTGTTATGTTTTTGTCTCATCAACCTGTCTTTTGTTATAGGAGTGTCAGCCATGACCTTTGTGATAGGGAAGAAAGGTATCACGCCTTTCCAGCCCTACAGTGAAAACCACATATCTCCTTCAGGGTCCTCAAGATATTTAACACGTAGTAAAATTGAATGCATAAAGCCTAATTATATCAGTATATTTAAATGAGTTATATATGTGTGTGTTTTATACGTATTCTATATATATATATTTGCACACATATATTTGTGTAAATATGTGTGTATTTCTGTGCGTGCATATTATATATATATATTTGTAAGGTTAATATTAGACATTAATTGGCATTTTGTTCTCAAAATTATACAATGAAAATCCTCTACTCTGTATAGACCTGTGCATTTTTCTAATAAACAATACAGAATGATATGTTAGAAAATACTTGAAAGCCACAGATAGGGTAGGTGGGACCAAGATGGCCAACTAGCAACAGCAGCAATCAGAGGGTCACATCAAAAAGAATGATAATCAGTGTGTGAATCCTTCACTGGCAACCAAGGTATCCAGATTTTCTCATCAGAACTGACTAGGTGGCTGACGTAATAACGGTCAGGAAGGAAAAGCAGTGTGGTCTAATGGCCCACCTGAGAGCCACACAGGGCTGCAGGGCCCCCACCCCGCAGCCAAGGAATTGGTGAGTGAGCATGCTACCCAGCTGGGGAAACCATGCTTTTCCATGGAACTGTGCAACCCACAGATTGGAAGATCCCACTTGCAAACCTACGCCACTGGGGCCTAGGGTCCCAACACTGGAGCCATGCGGATTCTCAACAGCCTCTCTGCTGGAATCTGCCTAAGCCTGCTGAGCTCCCGAAGGGAGAGGTGACCAGCATCACAGCTACAGCTGCCTGCTGCCTAAACCAACTGAGCTCCTTGGGGAAGGGGCAACAGCCAGCACTGGGACTCATTACTGTCTAACACGCTAAGCTCCCTGGGTGGGGGAAGGGTAGCATCCAGCTCTATAGCTCCAGGCCATGCTTTTTCACTGCTGGAGCCAGGGAGGCTGGAGAGCTTGGTCCCCAAGAAGTGTTCCCCAAAGCCCAGCACACTGGCTGTGGCAGACTGTGGCCAGAGCACCTGTTCAGGCCTCACCCTGACCCATCCTTTCTCACTGGACGGGGCCTCCCTGCAGGAACTCCAACAACTCTAGCCCGAGGCTCAGGGACAGAACCCGAGCCTCCCTGGGCCTCCCTTAGGGGGAGGGTTGGCCACAGTCTCTGCAGACCAGCAGAGTTAGCCTTCCCTCCAGTAGTTCTGAGGAATCTGGATAGACCAGATGAGTGGGTTTCCCCCCAGCGAAGCTCACCCCCTCCAAAAAGGACAGTCAAAGCGCTTCCGTAAATGGATCCTGTTCCCCATGCCACCCAACTGGGTGAAATCCTCTGACAGGGGTTGTCAGACACCCTATATAGGAATGATCCTACTGGCATCAGGTTGGTGCCCCTTGGGGTCAGAGATCCCAGATGAAGGAGAAGGCACCCATCTTTGCTGTTCTTCAGCCTCCTCCAGTGACACCTCTAACCGCTGGAGCGAACCAGATGAACGGGGTGTGAAGTGAACCCCCAGCAAACCACAGCAGCCCTACAGATGAGTGACCTTGAGAGAAGAGAGACAGACCCTCTCATATTGTTTTATATTGATTTATACTCAGAAAAGGAAAGAGGAGCAAAGCTAAAGGCAGTAGCCCGGCGCCTAGGAACCAGACCCGAAACCAAGGAACCAGACCTGAAACCAGGCCTGGGCCTGCCTGACCTAAGCCTGGCAGTTAAAGATCGACCCCCGGCCTAACTGGTTATGTTGTCTATAGATTCCAGACATTGTATGGAAAGGCATTGTAAAAATCCCTGTCCTGTTCTGTTTCGTTCTGATTACTGGTGCCTGCAGCCCCCAGTCACACACTCCCTGCTTGCCCAATCGATCATGACCCTCTCACGCGGACCCCCTTAGAGTCGTGAGCCCGTCAAAGGGACAGGAATTGCTCACTTGGGGAGCTCAGCTCTTAAGACAGGAGTCTTGCCTGATGCCCCCGGCTGAATAACCACTTCCTTCTTTAACTTGGAGTCTGAGGAGTTTTGTCTGCAGCTCCTCCTGCTACATTTTTTGGTTCCCTGACCGGGAGGTGAGGTGATTGGCAAAAGATGGAGGCAGCTCCTTAGGCGGCTTAAGCCTGCCCTGTGGAACATCCCTGCGGGGGACTCTGACCAGCCCAAGCAAGGCGGATCCTGAGAGCGCTCCCGGGTAGGCATTTGCCCCGGTGGTACGCCTCACCAGAGCAGTGTGTGGCAGGCCTCCATGGAGGATCAACGCAGTGGCTGAACAGCGGGAAGGAACTGGTACTTGGGGTCCGGACATCTAAAACTTGGTAAGACTGGTCTTTGGAACTTGCCTACTCCGTTTGAGTGGAAGCGTGGCCTGATCACCCATGGCGTGCCTTTATCGGTACTTTGGTTTAGTTTTGGTTTTGGTTTTGACTTGGTTTGAATTGCTTGATAGGACTGGTCTTGGGAACTTGCCCACTCCATTTGAGTGGAAGTGTGGCCTGATC